AGTTTCATCTTCCAACCCCCTTTTCCTCTTCGGGGAGGGGTTTTCCCCTCCCCCTTACCCCCTCCTCTGGACCTGGACGGGGGGGGGGCGAGCGGTCAGGGCGTCCAAGATGACTGCGGCTGGAATGAGAATGGGGGGAGGAGGAGGAGGAGGAGGAGGAGGAGGAGGAGGAGAAGGAGGGGGAGGAGGAGGAGGAGGAGGAGGGAGAGAGGGAGGGGGAGCCGGGAAATTACAGAATCCGTTCAGAATCCAACGCCCCCCGCCGAGTTTTCAACATAAGTTTCCTGAGGGGCCATTTTCTCTCGAAAAAGACATCACTTTGAGGCCGCCACATGAAATTCAAAAAATTGCAAATCCATGGATGTGACATTTTTTGAATATTGGAGGGTCGGCCAAATCCACTGTATTTTTGCAATCGGAACGCGCCTCAAAAAAGAACATGTTGAAAACTCAGGGCCTCTGGGGGGCGGATTCATGCGTTTTGGGACCCCCTGGGGGCGTCCTCCTCCGCCTCCTCCTCATCCTCCTCCGCATCGTCTTCCTCCTCCTCATCCTCCTACCTCCTCCTCCTCCTCCTCCTCCTCCTCCTCCTCACTCCTCCTCCTCCTCATCCTCCTCCTCCTCCTCCTCCTCCCTCCCTCCCTCCCTCCCTCCTCCCTCCTGCTCCCTCCTCCTCCTCCTCCCTCCTCCTCCTCCTCCTCTCCTCCTCTCCTTCTCCCCCCACTTGCCCCACTTGCCTCACTTGCCCCACTTGCCCCGCCCGCCCGCTCTCCATTGCGGAAATGAGGAGGCCCACTTGCCCTGGCCCACTATCCCCACTTGCCCCGCTTGCCCCACTTGGGCAAGTGGGGCAAGTGGGGCAAGTGGGGGCAAGTGAGGCAAGTGGGGCAAGTGGGGCGCATTTCAAATAGCGTAACACTGCTGCATGTGCAATCGAGATCGATGTGGTGCCCCGAGGTGCCCCGTGGTGTCCTGTGGTGCCCCCAAAAGTGAAATCGACACTGAGATCGATTGTGAGATCGACAGGTGCCCCGTGGTGTCCCGTGGTGTCCCGTTGAGTGAGATCGATAGTGACATCGATAATGAGATCGATGTGGCGTCCCGAGGTGTGTTCTATGGTGTCCCGTTGAGTGAAATCGATAGTGAGATCGATAGTGAGACCGATAATGAGATCGAGAGGTGTCCCGCTATGTCCCGTGGTGTCCCGTGGTGTCCCGTTGAATGAGATCGATTGTGAGATCGATAATGCGATCGACAAGTGTCCCGTGGTGTCCCGTTGAGTGAAATCGATAGTGAGATCGATTGAGTCAGATGTTGGTTGCCCCCCCTCTCCCCCACCCAACAACCTCCTTATCACCCGAAGGGTGGTCGTATAGGTAAAAGCTGTACAACAACAACGGGTCGGCGGGTGTGGCGCAAGCCTATATAATTAATTGCTGGCGCGAGAGATGTAACTATGACAACCCTGAGTCAACTTGATGCCGACGCAACCTATCATGATTACCACGAGTTCCTCGGACGCAACTCATCATGATCTACTTCAACTATTTCCGCCACCGTGACGTCATCACTGAGTGGGGTCTCCTCAGGTCGCTTCGGGATCACTGTAGTGAGTATGTACTCTACGTCTCGTGAGGGGCCCTAATCCCCAACTCATGGATTCCTCGGGACGTTGCGCATGGCTTCCTGGGGATCGCAGCGTGTCCCTCTCCGAGGTCAAACTTCATTGAACAACATCGTGTTGTTCAAGCTGTTCGGCCCCGGAGGATAGCACTACGAAAGAACATCGGGAGCCTTTCGCCTCAAGATGGAGCCCAAATTCCCAACGTGCCCTCACGAGCCCCCGAGAGACCGCCGAAACGTCACCACGAGGAACCCGGTAGGCCCCAAGATGCGAGACCTCCAAGATAACCCCAAGAGGTTCCCCAGAACCACCCCGAGAGATCCCAAGATGCATCCAAGAGCACTCCCGCCCCCAACCCAAGCACGGTGGCGGGATCGGCCGAAGGCAAATAGATCCGCACCCCCTGTGCTGCTTACAAGAACTGTTGTTGGCGTGCCAACGTTCTGACTGCATTGGCCCTTGGAAAAGGTTCCCAATAGGGGTCTCGGCCGATCCAACCAACCACACGGAATACCGCACACAAGGTGCACCCCATCGCCGTCCAAGATGGCTCCGAGAGGGCCTCCAGGACGTTCAAGTCGGCCCAAGATGGCCCAAGACAGTCCCCATACGGCAGAGAAGGCCCTGACAGAGGGCACAACAATACCACCCACACGGCCCAAGATGACTCCCAAACAACCCGAATCAAGAAATGCTGAAGAACTAGAACAACAAAAACACATCCGTGAACTGCGATCCCGAATGTCTGCGTCCTATGTTACATCATGCTTTTGTTTCCGGAGGGGGCGGTTTTTTGAGCTGCTCTCTTGGTCAACTGCTTTGTTTTGTTTTTTGTGCAGCGGCGATCGTGGGCGCCTTGTGTCGGCGCCCGCGCCTTGCGGTTTGGGACCTCAAGGAGTGCGCCCTGGGCGCCGCTGTCCCTTGCTCCCCCGACCCTGCGTGCATCCTCCCTCGGCCCCTCATTCCTTTGCTCCCCTGGCCTCCGTTTGCCCTCAGCGTGGTGGAAGAAACGTCGTGACCTTTGTGGGCCCCGGAAACGGCAAGGCCGTTTTTTCAACGTTTCCAAAAAAATGTCCCTTGACAATGGAAACGGCAAAAAAAGGTGACCAGAAACGGCGAAAAAACGGCTCCAGGATTGGAACCGGAGCCGGAACCGGAACCGGTCAAAAAACTGCGGCGGAACCGGTAAAACAACGGCGTCGGAACCGGCGAAAAAACGGCAAAACGGAGCCGGTAAAAAAACGGCCCTGTCGTTTCCAGGGCCCACTAAGGTCGTGACCTCCTCGTACTCATACAGGCTGGCAGGTTCCCAACTCCCGCGCTCGCCGCAAGAACACAGCGGCAACTGGCCTCTGGGCGAGCACGCGCGCGCGCGCTCATTTGCATGCCCGATGTTTTTACACCTCTGTTGCCAGCTGCGCAACTTTACTGAAGGGGCCCTGGGACGCACAACTAAATACACACAAATAAAAGGATTCCCCATATTTTCCCGGGAGTCGACGATTACTTGTGTCTGTGTGTGTTTTTTTCCTCCTGACTGTTGCCAGCTGCGCAACTTTACTAAGTTTGCCGCGTTTGACTTGTACGCGCCTATGAGATTGGGCGTTTCTTGGGGCCTCTTGTGGCCTATTAGGTACCTCTCGGAGGCCTTTTCGGGGCTCTTTGGGCCATCTCGGGGTGGTCGGCTCGGAAAGCGCCTTCGTGTTTCACCTGTTGGGCTCAACGTGGGGCCGGCTTGGACGCCCCTTGGGCTATTCATGGTGGTCTCTAGTGCCGCCTTGGGGCCCTCTTGGCTTGTCTTGGGTCTTGGGGAGATGCCTCTTGAAGCCTGTTGGAACCTTTTGGAAGGCCCCTCGGGAACCTTTTGAAAGCACGTCGGGGCCTCTTGGAGGCCGTTTTGGGGACATATGTCTTGGCTTCTTGGGCTCCGGGAGGCTCCGGGGTCCTCTTTGGGCGGGGGGCTCGACATTTGAGTTCGAGCTCCTCTTCAAGGGTCTCTCTTGTGGTCTCGTTGGCCATCTGGGGCGCCTTTTGGACCGTCTTGGAGCTTTCGAGCTCTCTTGAGCCTTCGTGGGGCCTCTTTCAGAGCCTCGTGGGCCGTCTTCGGGCGGTCTTGGACCCCGTGTCGGCCGTATTGGGTGCTGTTCAGACGAAAGCGCGAATGAGTTAAACATGCTTGTTATGTTTGTGAAGGCGATGTAGCGATGTGTGCCTCCTGCGACCCTCTTCAGGATCCTCTTGGGGCACCCTTGGACTGTCTGGTGGGCCTCTGGGCCTTGTTGAAGCCATTCTGAGCGGTTTTTGAGCGCTCTCGGATCGTTTTGGAGGCCTCTGGGGCCGTCTGGAGGCCATCGTGGATGCTCTTGGAGCGCTCTCGGGGGTGAAAGAGCTCCCCCAAAAAAACGCCCAACACGTGCCCCGGGCCCCCCAGGGCTAAATTCTGTACCCAGGATGGAGGGTGGGCGGGGGCATTTCAAATTGTGTCCCAGGGAGGTCAGGGGGGGGGACACCACTCCGACATTACATACGAATCATTGCGGACAAAGAGCGAGGGGACCAGGAGGGAGAGGATATGGAGGGGGAAGCGGAGCGGGGACGGGGAAGCGGAACTACGACCAGGCGTTTCTTCAGGCAGTCAGCCTCCCTGGTGCGCCCTACCAGCGAGCCCTCCCAGCACGCCCTCCCAGCGTGCCCTCCTGGCGCGCCTTCCCAGCGCGCCCTCCCAGTGCGCCCTCCCAGCGTGCCCTCCCAGCGTGCCCCCCCAACGTGCCCTCCCAGCGTGCCCTCGCCGCGCATCCTCCCAACGTGCCCTCCCGACGTGCCCTCCCAGCGTCGATGTCCCTCCTCCGCCACGCGCGCGCAGGGATCGTGTAAGACCGTTCGGGCCCCCTCATTCTGATACATGTGTATATATATAGATATACATCGATGTAGTGTGTACGTTTATATGCATGCATACATACACATATACATATATACATAGATGCACGCATCGACATACTTATACATCAATCTGTTGTATACATATATGTGCTTATATATGCACCTATAGATGTGAATCGGTAGTTCGGACCAATATTTGGACAAGGGCGGTGGGTGGCGGTGGTTCGCCGTAAGCGTCTTCGATGTGAACATAAGCCTCGGCCTTTTGCGTTGAAACTTACTGGCATCGAGTGAGCTTCCAGTGGTCTTGAAATCGTTCATCACGCATCGCGCAGGGAACGCCAGGGAACGCACACAATTTGATCATCACACATTCCCTAACTAAAGACTCATCTCGACGCACATAAGTTGTTGATTCCGGTGGGGCCGTTTCAGCACATGGCCCGAACGGTGTAAACATTTAGCTGCAACTTCAATTCTGACTCGCACCAATGCCCCGTCTTTTTTTCTTTGGCAAACTCAGGACGCGCGATATCGCGCAAAGTCAAACTGTAAGGTGAAGAAGAACGGGCTTGCACCTGCTAGGCAGATTTGTGCATGACGTGGGCAGCTCGTGCTGCCCGTCTGCACGGCCCCAAGAAGTAAACTCATGGTCGTCGACGGAATACACCCACGGACCATGGTCGTGCGCTACCGACGGTGTCCGCAGAAGAGACGCGTGAGCTGATCCTACGCTAGGCTAGCGATCGCCTCGGCACGCCCGACGTCACTGTTCGAAATCGCCTTCTTCTCCAGTGACATCGACTTCAAGCACCCCTCTTCGGGCGTCGCCGCCTCCGTGTAGTCGTCTTCACCGAGCAGACCTCCGACAGCAGCGCCCGCCTCTCTCAAGTGCTTGACGTAGAAGTTCAAGTACGTGATGCCCTGGCTCGTGCCGCCGTGCACGACCTTCAGCTTCAGCGGGCCGAACCTCGTCCAGCCCTGGGCGGCCTGGAGCGTCTCGTCGCGCGACCCCCCAGCAGTGAACGCGAGGCCGCCGGCCCGCACCTTGTCCGCCCAAGCCCCCGTGATGTTCAGAGATTGGAAGTGCATGTCCGCGCATTGCGAACCCAGACGACGCGCGTCTGCCTCCACGGTGAGCCATGACTTCTCGAAGGGCTGTCCGCGCGGAATCTGGATCAGCACGGCGTTGCCGGGCCTCATCAGGTCGAACCGCTCGCCGTGGATGTTCTGGAGATGCGGGTCGCCCGTCGCCGATGCCGCTGGGGCCGGAGTGGGAGTCGGGCTGGGCGTCGGGCTGGAGGTCGGGCTGGGCGCCCCACCCACGTAGAGCTCGACAACAGAGCACCCGTGGTGGTAATCCGTCCGCGTGGTACCGACGCAGGGTATGCCGTTTTCCCATTGCTTGTAAAGGCCAACGGCGTAGTAATAGTAGGGGTGTGCTACGGACCCATCAAGGAGTGCGTGACTGCTCCCTCCTTCCAAACCTCCCCAATACAAACCTGTATAAGGGACACTTACCGCCTCGTAACCCGCGACTGGACTGCTTGAACTCTGGCTTGACCCCACTGGGTTGAGCGATTGCTTCCAGATCTGGTCCAGCATAGCTGCCCCATGGTAGGTTGACCCTGGCCAATTTAACTTAAATGTGAACTTTCCGTCGGCTCCGCGATAGTTTTCCAACTGGTCGAGAATGGCGTAGTTGGCATTGGAGGAATCTCCCGAGTTCAGCGACCACTGATTGGAAGAAAACCAATACGGGACCGTTTGTCGAAACACCAAGGTCCAAGAAGTCGACGAGTTTGCCTCCATGCGTGACCTATTGGTATCCGGGTGCACTTGAATGCCGGTCGCGGTGACCAACAAGACCCCCAGCCACACGGTCGTGAATGCTGATGGGGCTTTCATCCTGCACGAGAAGAACGAGGAGTGTTGTAGTATCGGGTGAGAGCCGCGCTGACTGCGCGAGCCAATATCTAATCCTTGGACTAAAATGGCTTGAGCCAAAATGGCTACGGACGCACCAATGCCCCGTCTTGTTTTGCAATCGTCCCACGTGTGGATCATTTCCACCACCACAGCCGCCTTCGACGGGGGGGGCTCATGCCTCTGCGGAGATTCCTATCCAAAAGGGCCATTTCTGCGACGCATCGAACCACCGCCTGGGTTAATTATGCAGCAGTGCGCCCTCGAAGAAAGACAGCGTGGCCGACGCGCGCTGCGGCCACCGTGGCTCCTGGGAGGCCAGCGTCCCTGGCATCCGAGCTGCTCCTCCACTCCTCGGGAGCGGCCAAGGGGGGGGCGTCCAAGAGGGGGGGGTGCAAATCATGACCGGCGGCATGTGCGCGGCCCAGCGGGGGGGCCAGGGACGTAATGAAACAAGAAGAGGCGCCATGAGATCTGGGGAAATACCATGGCCCCCGCCATGATATCCCCCCCCTAGTCATCACCCCCCTCTTTTCCGCCCCCGACACCATCGCCGCCTCCCCTGGCGACGCCCGCCGCTCTCATCACTGGCAACGGTCCGCACCACCCTCTCGGGAGGTCGGGGAGCACGAGGGACGACGACGAGGAGGAGGAGGAGGAGGAGGAGGAGAAGGAGGTACGAGGAGGAGGTACGCGGAGGATGAGAAGGAGGAGGAGGAGGAGGAGGCCAGGGACCCCAAGGCGGCCCCTTGTGGGCGGGGGGCTGGGGGGCATGCCCTCGACACCTCGCAGCCCGGGGCCTCCGAGAGGCGGGCTCGAGGCGGGCCCATGCTAGGCCAGGGGGACCTCATGGCGGCCCCTTGTGGGCCTGGACGGGGGGGGGCCTGGACCTGGACGGGGGGGGGGCGAGCGGTCAGGGCGTCCAAGATGACTGCGGCTGGAATGAGAATGGGGGGAGGAGGAGGAGGAGGAGGAGGAGGAGGAGGAGTAGGAGGAGGAGGAGAAGGAGGGGGAGGAGGAGGAGGAGGAGGAGGAGGGAGAGAGGGAGGGGGAGCCGGGAAATTACAGAATCCGCTCAGAATCCAACGCCCCCCGCCGAGTTTTCAACATAAGTTTCCTGAGGGGCCATTTTCTCTCGAAAAAGACATCACTTTGAGGCCGCCACATGAAATTCAAAAAATTGCAAATCCATGGATGTGACATTTTTTGAATATTGGAGGGTCGGCCAAATCCGCTGTATTTTTGCAATCGGAACGCGCCTCAAAAAAAAACATGTTGAAAACTCGGGGCCTCTGGGGGGCGGATTCATGCGTTTTGGGACCCCCTGGGGGCGTCCTCCTCCGCCTCCTCCTCATCCTCCTCCGCATCGTCTTCCTCCCCCTCATCCTCCTACTCCTCCTCCTCCTCCTCCTCCTCCTCCTCCTCCTCCTCCTCCTCCTCCTCCTCCTCCTCCCTCCTCTCTCTCCTCCTCCTCCTCCTCCTCCTCCTCCTCCTCCTCCCTCCCTCCCTCCCTCCCCCTCCTCCTCCCTCCTGCTCCTCCTCCTCCTCCTCCTGCTCCTCCTCCTCCTCCTCCTCCTCCTCCTCCTCCTCCTCCTCCTCCTACTCCTTCTCCCCCCACTTGCCCCACTTGCCTCACTTGCCCCACTTGCCCCGCCCGCCCGCTCTCCATTGCGGAAATGAGGAGGCCCACTTGCCCTGGCCCACTTGCCCCACTTGCCCCGCTTGCCCCACTTGGGCAAGTGGGGCAAGTGGGGCAAGCGGGGCAAGTGGGGGCAAGTGAGGCAAGTGGGGCAAGTGGGGCAAGTGGGGCGCATTTCAAATAGCGTAACACTGCTGCATGTGCAATATGTATATATATAGAGAGAGAGAGAGAGTTGAAAAAAAGAGGAGAGATAAAAAAAAAAAAAAAAAAAAAAAACGAGAGGTTCGGCACGCCAGGCACCTCTTTGCAATAGCAAAAGGGGGCGGCGGATCGAAGACGCCTACGGCGAATCACCGCCGCCCCTGCCTTTTTGGAAGCGCCTACGTGGCCGAATGTTGAGGCCAGACCTGCCAAGCCATCGGACCATGTGTTCCCCGACTCGGTTTGGAAAGCCTTGGGGGAACACGTGGGCATCTTGAAGGTCATCTTGGCCGTTTTGGAGGCCTTTTGGGCGATCTTTCGGCGATCTGTGAGGCCTCTTGGGCCGTCTCGGGCCGTCGGAAGGCCGAACAGAAGGACGTGTCTAAATCCGTCGAAAACGCTAGGACAATAAAGGTTTTTGGCCGTTGTCCTCCTTCGTGGAGGCCCCCTTGGGGGCCTCTTGGGCCGTCTTGGGCCAGCTTCGAGCCAACTTCGGCCATCTTGGTGGGTTCCTGGCGCGTCTGACGCCGTCGGGAGCCGTCGTGGGGGCTTTTCGGGGCCAACGGGGACCCTCTCGGGGCGCTTCGGGGCTGTCTTGGAGGGAAAATTCTTCGTCGCAACACTTAGCTGCGTGCGCTCCCGCACGGACATTGGGCACGACTGAACACGTGCAGCTGGCTGGCGCCATCCTGAGAGAGACATAGCCTCGGGACGCCCAGCCAGCGGAGCGCAACACAGGGCGGGCGGGCGGGAAAATCACCACCACGCGCGCCCACGGCGCCTCAGGGAGACACTGGGGGACCTCGCCCACACCGCGGCGCCAGCAGACACCCGCGGCACGCAGAACGAGGTCCCGACAGACAGACGACAGACAGACAGACAGACAGAGGGCCCGACGGACCGACCGACCGACAGACAGACAAACAGACAGACGGACGACAACCGCCGCCCGCAGGACACGGCGTGTGAGCAGGCCCGCAAGAGCGAGCCAAGTCCGCAAACCCCACGCGGGAGGACCCGACCCTCGTGCAATTTGCTGCGAATCCCCAGGCCATTAGGCAAGGATAGGAGCGGCACCGCTTACTCCTCAAATTTTCCTGCCCTCTAAGCCGCTGCGCGATTTAAGGGCTAGGAAAACTCTTCGTCGCAACACTTAGCTGCGCGCGCTCCCGCGCGGACATTGGGCACGACTGATCACGTGCAGCTGGCTGGCGCCATCCTGAGAGAGACAAAGCCTCAGGGCGCCCAATGCATCCAGGTGGGGCCGGGCAGCTGCGCGAAGCGAAATCCTATTGCAACCGCACGAAACCCCCAATGCACGCAAGAGTTTTTCATTCGCCAGCTCCAGACGAGTCAAAGTGCTCAACCAGAAACTCGGCCTCAGCTACTGAGCCTCGCGCCTTGGCGGAAGCGCACGCAAAAGCTGTAAGCCCCCGCCAGCCGCCAGAGTAAAACAGCGCAGCCGGACCATTAGTTTGCAAGCACTCGGTGGCCCAACCCCTGCGAAAAGAATGCGTGCCCCACGCCGCAGCATGTGTGAAACCGCAGCCCTGGGCAGCTAATTCTAGCACAGCAAGGCTTACTGCGTACGTCATGCCTGGGAAAACTACGGCAGCCCCAGTCGAGGCCTGTGGCGGCGCACCTGTCGCCTGGGAAGCCGCGGACTGACCGGGGCGACTGCCTGCGGCCTGGTGCCGGGCAACAGCGAGACACTTGCCACATAACGCTCTCCCTTGCAAGCTGCAAATGCACCTGCGACTGACCACAACGGGCTCAGCGTAGCATTTCCTCAGCAGGAATGTGATGTCGACCACATACTGGGCACTACCACTTTTACTAACTGAGACGGGAGCCGCCTCCGAGCCCACTTGCAAGACCTCGCCGTGGCGCAAACAGAACTGTCGCGCCACCACAAAGGACTCACCTATGTCAGTGAAGCCGTTCCTGTCACACCACCGTCACAAAGCCTTCGTTTGCTCAGCCGACGCCCTCACTTTTGGCCGCCGTAGCGCACGACCTGCTTTCTCGGCTCCACGAACTACAAGCGCCGCGTCGTCTAGCGGCCCCACGGGGCAACGCAACCACACCAGGATAGTGCGCAAGTGCGGCAAATACTTGGACAATGTAGCCGCGCTCCTGAACAAACAAACGTATGCATCCAATGTGACCTGCGTTGGAGGCCGCGGAAGGACCTGGCAGAAAAGCACAACTTGGCCGTAGAGTTTCAACGCCGACGCATAACCTGTTGCGCTGGCCTTCCAGCCACAAAATTCTAGCCACGCAGCCTGCTCCGCCATCGCTTTTTGAGGAAATCCCTCCACGCGATAGCCTCGCGAGTAGCTGCCGTGGCACCCCAGGAGGGTTGTGGAACGCAAGTGCTCCAGCTTGGGCCATAGCAGTTATGGCCTCGGCGAGCACGCGCGGCTCGGGAAGATTGCCGGACGTCCGCGCCGCCGCGCACAGCCGCAACGCCGCCCACGCACCGGCGTTTTCCTCAGCGCCGGGGCTTCCGTGTTGCCGAACTGGGATCCCAGACCTAGCCGCCCGGCACGCTGGCAGCGACGGCTGACTAGGCGGCCGCGGCGCGCCCGCCTTCGCCTCCCTCTCACTGTGCGAACTGCAGAGGCCCAAGAAAGCGCCAACGACGGAAAGTGAAATCCCCGAGAAGGAACTCCAAACTTGAACAGCTTCCTCCGGCGCGATGCCCACCAAATCAGATGGCCCCACGGCTCCTTCCTTCCGAAGATTGTCCTCTACTGCACGCACATCCAACGAAACGTCCGCGATGCCAGCTGCTCGCCGGAGCAGCTGGGCCAAGACTGTTTCCGGCATCTCCTGCAGCGCCGTTGCTGGCAACCTCGGCCGAACATGCCGTTCGCCGTCGCCGCCGGCAAAGCCAGCCCGCGTCCGACTGCCGTCAATGAAATTCAACATTGAGCCAAGCCGGCTACGGGAGAAGTCGGAAAACCAACCTTCCTTCAGGCACCTGTTGCCTTCGCCGGCCGCTGCTGATAGATGATGTTTTTGCTCCAACCTACAGTCCTCCCAGTGCTAAATTGACCAAGGCAGTGCGGGCGGCCACATCCACTGCAGCTGACGGAAACCTCTGCTGTGGAATTCGGAGACGGCTCTGTCCCAAGTCTCTTGCCGCGTTGGGCCGTCAGCAATGTTTAACTTGCTGGGGGCGCGGAACGCATGCAGGAGCACGCCAGCGCGCGCCACTGCAAACCAGAAGCCGGTTATCACCTCATTTAAATCACTCTGCCGGCTCGCGCCGCGCACCAGCGCATGCAGGGCTGGATTGCAATCTACAAACAGCACTACTTCGCACTCTGCCAGCCCATGCTGGATCAGACAGCGCACAGCGCAGATTGCTGCCACAAGCTCCCACTCGCTCTGGACGCCGTCGCCCGCGCCGTCGCCACAGATCGGGTACGAGCCGATATCGGGCAGCGCCTCCAAATACGACGTCTTGATGGAGCCAGAAAGAAGTTCGCTTCTGGACATATATATATATATATATATGATGGCCGAATTTGAAAGCTGAAAAACTGCCACTACTCCGGAGCATGGCCCGCAACATCTGGAAACCCGCATCATCGAGCATCACTCCTTCCTCGAGGAAGGGTTTTTTTTCCACTCGTCGTCCAGCTGTAAGCCCTGGACGCCCAACTGATCGAACTGCTGCGGCATTCTCACGGAACGCTGAGACAGGGACTCGTTCGCTTTCCGCTTGTGGTTGAAGAGGCACTCTCGACCAGCTTTGCATCGAACGTCGTCGCGTGCTTCATCGCTCAACACGTCGAACCTTGACTGAAAAGTCTTAGCTGCGGACTCGCTGGTGGGCGCCTGGTCTGGGAGGCCCGCGAACTTCCGCTGCATGTCAAGCTCTAGCCCCTGCATCCATGTGTCGGTCCTCTTGGAAAGACGGGCGACGGTAACCACCAGCCTCCGGTGAATTCGCTTGCGCCATATATGGTCCCGGGCTCCGGGCCCACGGACCCCCCCCCCCCCCCCCAGACGGTATGGTCCCAGGATTCCTCGCCCCCCCCCCCCAGATGGTATGGTCCCAGAGACGACGACGACGACGACGACGACGACGACGACGACGACGACGACGGCGACGACTACGACGACGACGACCACGACGACGACGACGACGACCACGACGACGACGACGGCTGCGGCAGCGACGACGCCGGCGGCGGCGGCGACGACGACGACAAAGACGACGATGACGACGGCGAACGACGACGACGACGACGACGACGACGACGACGACGACGGCGACGACGACGAGGACGACGACGACGACGACGACGACGACGCCAACGACGACGACGACGACGACGACGACCTCTGAACCACCACAGCACCACACCACATCCACAGGGATGGGGGGGGGGCACTGCAGCGCAGCACCACGCCACGCCCACAGGGGGGGGCGGGGGGGACCATCGCGCGGAGGGGGGGGCCCAATGGCATCAGCATTGGGGGGGGGGGGGGGCCCAAGCCCTGGACCATGTATTGTAATTAGGCCAGCCCGTCCACTTCGGCGGGTCGGGGAGGTCGGGCTTGTGCCACGAGGAGGAGGGCCAGCAAGACTGCCGCCGGCGGTGACCGCCCTACTCCGGAGATCCCCAGTGACTAACCCCAGGAAGCATTTAAGACCCCCCCCCCCCCCTTCCGGCAAATCGATAACCCTTCCGCACCCTGGAAGCGTTACCTGGCACCAGGAGCCCTCCTCCTCCTCCTCCTCCTCCTCCTCCTCCTCCTCCTCTCCTCCACCCACGAACTTCCTCCTGCCCCCTCCTCCTCCTCCTCCTCCTCCTCCTCCTCCTCCTCCTCCCGCGCCCCCCCCTTCCCTCGGGGCCCAAGGCCTGTCAGGGCACAAGTCACCTGGCCTCCGCGAATTTGTTTTGTGTCCGGGTGCTAAACCTATCGTTCGGTTATTTCGGCCCCTCGGAATATCGAATAAAAATGCGGTGCTAAGATATCGCCGGGGGGTTTCTTAAATGCTTCCTGGGGTTACTCCCGTCCTTGGGAGCGTCGCACTTCCACCACAAACCGAAGTCAGCATCGGGGGCGTGCAAACATGGGTTAGCGTTCCATGGATTTGGCGCGCGGTCGCCAAATCCATGGATCCTCCCCAAAATGCGGCCGGCGCCGCCTCGCTCGGCGGCAGAAATCCGCGATTTCCCGTAGAAACGGGACCCGTCGCTAATCCACGCCCCCTTGATCCATGTTTGCGATCGCCGAATCTTTCTGAATCTAGCGGGCCGGGCTCCCCCACGAGACTGCGCTGTCCCATGCTGCACTCGAAACTGGGCGTCACTTCTGCCACGGATTGGATATCTCCCAAGGATCTTCTGGCTGGCTAGTGTGCGGACCTCATGGATGCCAGCGCACACCCTCAGATACTCCCCGCGAGGTCCCTACTGTCGCCGTCGCGCCCTTGACTGCGTCGGCTACCACTTAAATCAAGTCCTGCTTCTGGGCTTCCGTGAAGCCTGACTGCTGAGCCTTCCCTGAGGCCGCATCATCTACCTCATCACGCGAATCTCCCTTTTTCCTTGCTAACGCCTTCTCGTCTTCAGCTTCGCCCACCATGTCGAAGCTGGAAGACCACGGACGTACCAGAGGCTCCGCTATCAGCTGTGAGATCAAATCTGACAAGCAAGGCACCGAACAGGGAGAGGTCAGACCTTTCGCTCTGGGGCGAGGCTAGCATGTGTATCTATCTGAAGGTGCCCACAAGCCGAACGGCTACGGACAAAACACAAAGGCGCCCCTGAACAACATGACGCCCACACGATCAGATGCTTGGACTCGACCCACGGAGCTAACATTCACAGAAGTCCCGACCCTTTCCCTGGGGCCCGCTTTTCATCCTGAATCTTTTTTGTGAACGGTCCAGCGGCGCGGCGAGTGCCCCAAAAGGCCGAGAGAAAATCGCCAAAAAAGTCCCGTCGTGATTTTTGTCGATGACGCGAGCATGTCTGAGGATCGAGGAGGAGGATAGCAGATCAGGGCCCGCAGCACCAGCAACAGGAGGAAGTTCCTTGCTCGTGCCCTCCACCGGAGGAGGATCGAGGAGTATCTGAAGAGGATCGATGGGGTGGATCGAGGGGTCGATCCTCCTCGACCGAGCCTCGATCTTGCTCGATTCAGGTCGGGCCTGTCCCCCCACAGGGGGATTGTGGACGAAAAACTAAAGATAGTCAACAGATAATCCGAAATGTGGTCCCCAGACTGTTCTTTGACTATTATTGAATATTCCTCCTGTAGAGGGACAGGCCCGATTTAATGCTCGATCGAGGAGGGCCCGCGGCACCAGCGACGGCAAGGAGTTCCTCTCGGCCGTGCTCATGCCCTCCACCGCGTCGGGCTCCGGGGGCGGCAGGCCGCCTGGGGGGGCCAGCTGGACCCTCCGCTCCTCCCCACTGCCCTCTCCTTCTCAACTTCCCACCTCCATGACAGCCTCCATTGGCCTCTTCCACTCCCTCCTCCACTCCCGCCTCCGCCCTCCTCCCTCCTCCATGCCCTCCTCCCTCCTCTCCTCCCTCTCCTCCCTCTCCTCCCTCCAACCCTTCCTCCATCATCCTCTTCTATGCCCCCTACCTCCTCCATTCCTTCCTCCATTTCCCTCTCCATACCCTTCTCCTCCTTCCCCACCTCCATTTAAGACGAAGCTCGGGGGAAGATAACATCGGGTGGGGGATACATCGAGAATCTCGGAGAGCTGGCAGCTCTGGAGGATACCTGGGGCGCCGCGGCCCTCCTCCTCTTCCTCCTCCTCCTCCTCCTCATCCTCATCCCCCTCCCCCCCTCCAGGATAGTGCCTCCTCCTCCTCCTCGTCCTCGTCTTCTTCCTCGTCCTCCTCCTCCTCCGCCTCCTCCTCCGCCTTCTCATCCCCTTCCTCCTCCTCCTCCTCCTCCTCCTCCTCCTCCTCCTCCTCCTTCTCCTCCTCCTCCTCCTCCTCCTCGTGCTTCTCCGCCTGCTATTCTTCCTTCTCCTCCTCCTCTTCTTCCTCCTCCTCCTCCCCCTCCTCCTCCTCCTCCTGCTCCTGCTCCTCCTCCTCCTCCTCCTCTCTTCCTCTCCTGCTCCTCCCTCCCTCCCTCCTCCCCAGTCGTGTTTGGGCTCAGGCCGAGATTTTGGGTGCAGATCAGTTCTGCGAATCTCGAGAGCTCGCGCGACCAAGGGTGTTGCCCTAGCAATCACGAAGGGCGACCCCGCCTGGCATCGCCGCAGGCGCCGGCAGCGCGCGGCGGCGAGAGTGCTGCTCAGGCTGGGCGCAGCTGCCCGCCTGCTGAAGCAACATCACAGCGCGATGGCGCCGCAGGGCGGACGCCGCGCGGCCAGCGGAGGAGGTGGCAGCCAACGGGGCCAGCACGGTGGCGATGCTACGGCCCCGCCGTGGAGCTGCGGAGAATGCCACACCTCCAACTTCGCCACGAGGAAGTCCTGCCGCCAGTGCGGAGGAGAGAGGCAGCAGGAGGCGCCATGGCAGCAGCGCCGCCGTGAGCGCGGGGCCAGCAGAGGAGGCCAACGAGAGGCGAAGCCCAAGGGAGGCCAGCCCTCGCAGGATCAGACCGCGGCGGCCACTGACAAGGAGACGCTCGGCATCCTCCCCATGCTGCCGGAGCAGGCCAAGCTCCACAGCGCATGGGTACCGCCCCCGCAGCAGGCCACGGGCCTGAAGCAGTACCGCGAGTCGCTTAGGAAGGCGCTCGCGGCAGCCGAGGGCAGGGTGCGCGCCATCCGCGGGCTGGTGGCCCCAGACCCCACGAGGCTGCGCAAGGCGGAGCAGGAGTTTGCCGCCATCCACTGCCAGGTGATCCTGTCCAGGGACCCGGCGACGAGGGCCGACAAGCAGGAGGCCTTCGTAAAGAAGGCACGCAGGGCGCTAGAGGGCGCCAAGGACGCAGAGCTGGCCGCGCAGCTCAAGCTGGCGGCCGCTGAGGCCGACACCAAGCAGGCGAAGCAGGACCTTGAGCATGCGCAGGTCTTCCTGGAGCAGATGACGAACATGGCGGACTTCTGCTCGTACCCTGCGCCGCCGCCGCAGCCGCGGGCGCAGGGCAGGCGCAGTGCATGGCAGAGGCCACCAGCATCAGGGGATGAGGAGGCCGAGGAGCTCTCGTCCTGCCTCGACGAAGAGAGTGAGCCACGCCGTGCACGCGACCAGTACGGAGATGGCAATGACGAGGACATGCCATCCACGCCGCGGCCGAGGCAAGAAGTGGCGGAGGTTGCACAGACGCAGCAGCGCGTGGCCTCACTCGAGAAAGGCATGGCGCAGCTGATGGAGCAGATGATGCAGATCAACTCGAACCTCATGGCCGCCGCCGCACAGGCACCCTCAGCCGCAGCCTCAGCCCAGCAGGCGCAGGCCGCAGCAGCAGCCCCCGCGGCACATGCAGGTGGCAGTGCGATCGCGGCCACCAAGGAGAGGGCCGCTAAGGCAGCAGCAGACAAGCTGGCCCGCGAGCATGAGCGGGCAGCTGCAGAGTCCGAGCGGGACAAGCAGGCGGGCAGGCAGCAGACCAGGCTGCAGCTTCGACCCGCAGCAGCAGAGGCGGCGGCCAAGAAAGAAGTAGGGAGAGAAGAGCGTTCACGCTCACCCGAGGCCAGGCAGCCTGCTGGCCCAGGGCTAGCGGACAGGATGCCAGGAGGTTCTCCCGCCTCCCCAGCTGCAGCGTCCTCGACAGCGTCGATGGCCAGTCCGGCCAGCGCTGTGGCCAGGCCATCCCAGTGACAAACAAGGGGCCTCGCCGAGGACACCCCGCTCCCAGGTGACAGGGAGGGCGGGGCCCCCAGTGATGTCACCCAGCCAGACCTACAAGGGCGGCAGCCGCGACGCGTGGTGCCGCTGCCAGACTGCGAGCGTGCGCTCAGCATGCTACGGGCAGCCTGGCCCTTCGACCTCACGGCCCTGGACGAGGGCGTGCTGGGTCCCTCTCTCCACAGCTCCACCAAGGCGCTCCTGGCGGATTGCTGTGAGGATGCTTTTGCGGCGGTACCAGGCCGAAGAGCATCTCCCCTCGGGTGCGTCTCCCTGGACATCTACACGGATGGCTCAGGAGGTGCGGACAAGGGCCACATGCCAGGCCCCCCGTCGTGGGCCTTCACGGTGATCGGGACAGACGCGCTGGGGCGCATGTCCAACATCGGCTACCTGGGCCAAGCGATGCCGGACCTCGCGGACAACTTTGCACAGCCCTCCGTGGCAGCAGAAGTCTGTGCAGCAGCGGCCGCCGCCATGTGGGTTCTCCAGCTGCACCAGGCAGACCCCTCGGTCCACCTCATGGACACCCCCATGCCGCACATCACCTTCCACTCGGACTGCCTCTACGTGCTGGATATCGCGGCAGGAGGGGCCCCCCTCGCCACGTACGCCCCGTTCTCCACGGTGTTTGACGGGATGCACAAGCTCTTGCAGGCTGTCACCCCCTTCAGCTGGAAGCATGTCCCGGCGCACGAAGGCAACGGATGGAACGAGTTGGCAGACACGATTGCCACG